AGGAGAAGGGGAGCGGGAGTGGAGAGGAGGGTGTCAATTGGGGGAAAGGAGGGGCATCTGTATACTTTCAACGATAAAGATAAATATTTTTTGGAAAATGCAAAATCCAAGATGCTACTCCAGAATACAAATCCTAAGAATGGGGGCATGGCATGTGCAAGGGAGTGGGGGACAGGTGGTATGCAGGGGCATGAAATAATTCTTCTATATATGGCTTTAAGTGCTGCTATCCTGGACAGGACATCTCGGAAGAAAGGAAGCTCCAGCTGTGTTTATATGAGCAACAAGACTAATCTTTTCAGCTAGATTAAAAGTAGAAGTTCTAAACTGGCGGGAGATCACATCCACAACACAAGGCCAGTGTAAAGCCAAATGGCTTTATTGCAGACACCTGGGTGCAGGCGGGCTGACTCCTTAAAAGAGCCCAGGGTCAAAATCTCATTGTCCTCCAGTTTTTAGAGGCCCAAACTACAGAAACTAAAAAAATTACATTAAAAAAACACCCACATTCTCTTGGCACCACATAATTGGTGTCAGGGCTGATACAAGTTGTCTCAGAGGTAAGGAGTCTGCTCCAGCAGAGGTCCCGGCCATCATTAATCTCCTTTTTTATGGTCCCTTCAAGTTTCCCAAGGCCACCATTAACCCCTTATCTTTATGGTTCCCCTGGGTGTCAGTCCCAGGTGTTTTAGAAAACTGCTTGGGTGTTTACGTGCAGGAATAACTGGTCAGAATGAAGTTTAATTTTGTTAAAACATTATTAACCCTTTCAAAGAGGAAATAGACAGAAACTAGGACTTTATGCTGACATCCACTGATCTCCCACTCCTGGTGTAGTAATGCCAGTAAGTTTTTTTTTTTCAGGTCCTCCCCTTCCTATCTGCCACCTATGAGTATACTGGCCTCACAACCACTTCACCCCCAGGTGCCAGAAGCACAGGGCAGGTTCACTCTGCTTCAACTAGGGAAGCAAAGAAATACCAAAAACAGCGTAGTGGACATGAGAGAAAATCTATTTCAGCTTTTGATTCCCTTTCTTTTAGAAAACTTTGCCTTCCAGGCTATCTTTGTAGAACTAGCTGCAAAAAGTTCTCATCAAAATGAGTGCTAAACATGTTTTATTATACCTTGAAACCTCTACATGTATAAGGAATTTGAACTGCTAGCACATTTCAATTATTTCAATTAAGACAATCTGATACTTTTTTTCTTCTTTTTGTCCACAAATAGTAAATTTTCATTTTAAACACCTATGTAGAGGGCTTTCTGACAGATTTTTCACAGATCTGGAAGCTTTTATTAACTGGACTTTATTATTCAACTCAATTCAAAACAATCATTCCTGGAGCTCCATCTGTGTCCATCATTAAAGAAGTAGACCAGGTCCTTCCCTTACTCAGGTTAAAGGATTCAGGGCTGGCCTCCAATGATGTGAATGGAGGCTCTGTCCATCCTCTTCTTCACTCTTTGCCAAACCTAGGAGCTTCCTGACTTTTGTGACATACTCTCCTGATCAAAAAAAAATTCATGTGACAAATCTACAAGGCAGCTGAGTTTTTATTGACTTTTTAAACTTCTGGATTTATTAGCTGTCATGTTATTTAAAACTTGTATTTTAATATTTCTAAATATTAATATGGCACAAGAGTTGTTTCATTGCAGAAAAATGTTCAAACTCTAAAAATTATAATCAGTTTAAAAAAAATTTATGATATGCTGAACTCTTCAGTGTATTTGAAATCATTTAGAATTGTATAAAATATACATATGTAAATACACATATATTTTCTCCCTTTAAAAGTAAAAATAAATTGTCTACATTCCTGATCTTTTCAGAAAGATTAACCTCCAAAGTATAACAAAAACTTTGTTATAGTATTTCTGTTATTTATGCAAGAAAATGTTCTTTTTAAGTACAACTAAAATCAATGTACTTATAGAAATATCACTACAGTATGTGCCATATGGCTTCCGTCTCCTGGTTCTCCAGAAGAGGAGTGATAGGACACAGAGATGGTGCTAAAGACACACTGAAAATGAGAAAGCTACACAAATTGCTACACGTGAACATAAACTGTATAATTAAACATTGTTGGGTGTAAGTTAACACAGAGAGAAAAACTATTTAAAGCATGATCCAGAATTGTGTCTGTATTGATTTATATCCCTTAGCCCAGGGTTCCAGTACCAGGAAGGGAAGTCCCCAAACCTCTGGCTGTGAAAACCAGCGGGGAATTGTGGCTGAGTGGGATGAGGGCTCCTGGAGTCCCAGCCATTCCTCTTAAACAGCTCATGCACAAACTTACTTGGATTTACTCTCTCTGAGTTTCAGCACCAAGGCACCAGAAACACATGAGGAAGAATTGTCTGGCATCAGGGCAAGAGCTAGAGGGGCAGCTTTCTCCCAGACAAAAGTGCTAGCAAAGGCTATTGTTCCTTTGCTAAGCCCTCCCCACACAGAGTTGGCAGGCAGGCACCATATCTGAGTCTGCATCAACCTGGCAAACATTGTTTGCCTTGCACTGGTGATTTTCTGGGTTCCTGCCCCACCCAACTTGTGGGCCCAGCCAAGCTGTTTTTGGTGGCTTTTCCACACAAACACTCTGTCTTGATTCATGTTTAAAACACTCCAATAATCTCTCAAACAAGCAGCATCTGACCTCAGTGTGCCCCATGGCTCTTCCTATGTGGCACCTGGCCTAGTATTAGCAGCAATCAGCCTCAATTTAGAGTTTGCCTTTCCTAGGCACCTCCAAGGCCAGCACAAGTAACAGCCAATCTGCATATTACTCTGTAGCTCATCCCAGGTGGCCCAGGGCAGGACACAGGCAGTGGCTCATCTTGTACCTCCCTGGAGGCTCCAGAGCCAGTGACCATGGTGGTGAGCTTCAGACCTTGCCGGATTACATCCCAACCATCTCCACAAGCAACACAGTCAAAGAGAAGACTTGGCACCAAAGCTTCTCTGAAGCAGGTCCTGCTCTGTGGGGTCATCCCCGTTCCAACAGAACCTGTGCTTTAGTTGTAGCCAGTCCTCACAGCCAATTGGTCTGGAGGTCAGTCCCCTCCCAGTGGCATGCCAAAAGCAATCAAGGCTTAAATACAACAGGACAGTGAACACAGTGTGCATGGGGGGCAGGGGTGCACACATAGCACTCAGTGCAGTGACTGGAGGAGCTACACCAATTGGCCCTTTAGGAATCCTCCTACATTAGGCCACTCTACCAAGACCAACAGATATAGCAGCTCTACCTAATACATGGAAAGACACACAGGGAAGTAGCCAAAATGAGAAGACAAAGAAAGAGGTCCCAAATGAAAGAACAGGAGATATCTCCAGAGTAAGAACTAAATTAAAGAGAGGTAAGCAAACTACAGGATTCAGAATTCAAAACAATCATAAGGACAACTTAGTGAGAAATTCAACAGCACAAAAATGGATATGGAAACCATAAAAAAGAACCAGTCAGAAATAAAGAACACATGAACTAAAATAAAGAATAAATTACAGGGAATCAAGAGTAGGGTAGATGAAGCTGAGAATCAAATCAGCAATTTGAAATATAAGGAAGCAGAAAACACCCAGAAGAGGAAAATGAAAAAGGTCCAAAAACAATTAGGATAGTTTAAGATGCCTCTGGGACAAATTCAAGTGTACTAAATTTTCCTTCATGGGGATGCCTCAAGTGAAAGAGAGAGGAAGAAACTGAAAATCTATGTAAAAAAATAATGACAGAAAATGTCCCTAAGCTGGGGAATGAAATAGACATATGATTCCAATAACTGTAGAGAGTCCCAAACAAAATAAACCCAAAGAGGCCCACACCAAGACACATCAAAAGGCTGAAGACAAAGAATCTGAAAAGCAGCAAGAGAAAAGCAGTTGGTAACCTACAAGGCAGCTCCATAAGACTGTCAACTGATTTATCAACAGAAACTTTGCAGGCCAGAAGGGAACACTAGGCAGCTATAAAAAAGAGAGATCTCTTATCCTTTGAGACAACATGAAGGGAGAGCATTATGCTACGTGAAATAAGCCAATCAGAGAAAAACAAATATCACATGATCTCACAAATTTGTGGAATATAATGAACATAACAGTCTGAGGAACAGGGTAGACCCATGGAAGTAGAGTATGGACTGACAACCCTCAGAAGAGGGGGTGGGGGGGAAGAAAGAGATAAACCACAGAACTTATATGCATGTATGCATAACCGATGGACATGGATAACAAAGCTGGGGATGGGGTGGGGGGAATGGGGAGGAAGGTGTCAATGGGGAAAAAAGGAGAAATATCTGTAACAAAAATAAATTAATAAAATAAATTTAAAAATTTTTAAATGGGTACTAAAAATTATATTATTTTTATCTTTCATTTTGTTTACATGGAGTATCACATTTATTGATTTGTAAATATTGTACCAACCTTGCACCCCTGGGATAAATCCCACTGGTCATGGTGAACAATCTTTCTAACATACTGCTGGATTTGATTTGATAAATTGTGTTGAAGATTTTGGCATCTGTGGCATCAGGGACATTGCCCAGTAACTTTCTTTCTTTGTAAGTGTCTTTATCTAATTTTGGAATTAAGATAATCCTGGCCTCATAAAAAGAGCTTGAAAGTCTTCCATACTCTTGAATCTTTTGGACAAGTTTGAGGAGAATAGGTGTTAGTTCTTTTTTGAATGTTTGATAAAACTCCCCCTGTGAAGCCGGCTTAACCAGGGCTTTTGTTTACTGGAAATTGATTGATTACAGCTTCAATGTTATTAGTTATAATTGGTTTGTTCAGGTTTCCTTAAGCTTCCTCATTGACTTTTGGAAGATTGCATAATTCCAGAAATTTGCCCATTTCACCTAGTTAGTCCAATTTGTTGTACTATAATTGTTCAGTGTTTTCTTACAATCTTTTTTATTTCTCTGGTGTCAGTCGTTACTTCACCTATTTCATTTCTCTTTATATGTATATATATATATATATATATATATATATATATATATATATGAAACACTTCACAAATTTGCATGTCATCCTTATGCAGGGGCCATGCTAATCTTCTCTGTGTCGTTCCAATCTTAGAATATGTGCTCCCAAAGCGAGCATGCACCTTTTTCATTTCTGATTTTATTTATTTGGGTTCTCTCTCTTTGTTTCTTGATGAATTTGGCTAAAAGTTCATCAATCTTCTTTATCTTTTCAAAAACCAACTCTTAAAAAAATAAAAGAGATCCAAATTGGAAAGGAGGAAGTGAAACTGTCATTATTTGCAGATGAGATGATACTATACGTAGAAAACTCCAAAGACTCCATCAAAAGTTTACTAGACTTAATAAATGAATTTGGCAAAGTAGCAGGATGTAAAATTAATGTCAAGAAATTGATGGCATTCTTATACACCAATGATGAACTCACAGAAAGAGAAACTAAAAAAACAATCCCATTTACCATCATGGCAAAAAAATTAAGATACCTGGAAATAAACTTAACCAAAGAAGTAAAGAACCTATTCGCAGAAAACTAAAGGTAATTGGAAAAAGAAATAGAGGAAGATATAAAAAAGTGGAAGCACATACCTTGATCATGGATTGGAATAATTTACATCATTAAAATGTCCGTACTACCCAAAGCAATCTATAGATTCCATGCAATCCCCATCAAAATACCAACAACATACTTCACAGAACTAGAACAAATACTTCAAAAGTTTATATGGAACCAAAAAAGACCCCAAATAGCCATAGTAATCTTGAAAAAGAAGAACAAAGTTGGAGGGATCACACTACCAGCTTTCAGGTTATACTACAAAGCCACTGTAATCAAAACACCCTGGTATTGGCACAAGAACAGGCATATAGACCAGTGGAACAGAACAGAGAACCCAGAAATGGACCCAAGGCAATATGCTCAATTAATATTTGACAAAGGTGACAAGAGCATATAGTGGAGTAAAGACATCCTCTTTAATAAATGGTGTTGGAAAAATTGGACAGCTACATGCAAAAAAATGAAACTAGACCATCAACTTACACCATACACAAGAATAAACTCAAAATGGATAAAAGACTTAAATGTGACCCATGAATCCATAAAAATCCCAGAAGAAAATGTAAGCAACAAAATTTCAGACATCATATGCAGCAGAATTTTCAGTGATACATCACCTACGGCAACAGAAACAAAGGAGAAACTGAACACATGGGACTACATCAAATTCAAAAGCTTCTGCACAGCAAAAGATACAATAATCAAAATAGAAAGGCAACCCACTGTATGGGAGAGCATAATTGCCAATGACATATCAGATAAGGGGTTAATTTCCACTATATGGAGAGTGCTCATACAACTCAACAAAAGGAAGACCAAGAACCCAATTAAAAAAATGGGCAGAGGAGCTAAATAGACATCTCTCCAAACAGGACATACAAATGGTAAAGAGACATATGAAGAAATGCTCAACATCACTAATCATCAGAGAGATGCAAATTAAAACAGCAGTGAGGTATCACCTCACACCTGTCAGAATGGCTGCCATCAACAAATCATCAAACAAGCGTTGGCGAGGGTGTGGAGAAAGGGGACTCTAGTACACTGCTGGTGAGAATGCAGACTAGTGCAGCCACTATGGAAAACAATATAGTGTTACCTCAAAAAATTAAAAATTGAACTGCCATTTGACCCAGTGACCCCACTTCTAGGAATATGCCCTAAGAAACCTGAAACACCAATCAGAAAGAATATATGTACTCCCCTCCCCCCCCCCATGTTCATAGCAGCACTATTTACAATAGCTATGATCTGGAAACAGCCCAAATATCCATCTGTAGACGAATGGATAAAAAAGCTGTGGTACATATACACAATGGAGTACTATGCAGCTGTAAGAAAGAAAGATCTCTTATCCTTTGAGATGACATGGAGGGACCTGGAAAGTATTATCCTAAGTGAAACATGCCAAGCAGAGAAAGACAAGTATCATATGATCTCACTTATTTGTGGAATATAATGAACATAACAGTCTGAGGAATGAGGTAGTCCCAGAGACGTGGAAGTGGGGTACAGACTGACAATCCCCAGAAGAGGGGGTGGTGGGGGAGAGATAAACCACAGAACTTATATGCATGTGTGCATGAACAATGGACATGGACAACAAAGCTGGGGACATGGCGGGGAGGAAGGAGAAGGGGGAAATCAGTGGGGGGAAAAGGAGAAACACCTGTAACAAAAATAAATAAATTAATTAAAAAAACCAACTCTTGGTTTTATTAATAATTTCTATTCTTTTATTAATCTCTAGGTCATTTATCTCTGCTCTGATCTTTATCATGTCCTCCTTCTACTTACTCTGGGTTTTTCTTGTTGTTCTCTTTATAATTCTTTATGTTTTAGGGTTGGATAGTGTATTAGAATTTTTTCTTGTTTCTTGGGGTAAGCCTGTAATACTATGAACTTTCCTTTTCAGACTGCTTTTGCTGTGTCCCGTAGATTTTGTGTTGTTGTGTGTTCATTTTCATTTGTTTGTAAAAAGTCTATTTCTTCTTAGATTTCATTGGTAACCCATTCATTGTTTATAACACTCTATTTTGCTTTCAACCCAGGAAGAAGCCTTCAACTGCAATTGAACCTAATACCCTTTGGTTCTTGGGCTGATGCTCTAACCACTGAGAAAACCAGCCAGGTTTATTGAGGATTATTATTGATAGGTACTTACTGACATTTAATCCTTTTTTAACAAGCCATTTTTATTTTATTTTAGAAAGAAAGAAAAAGAGAGAGACAGAAACATCAATGAGAGAGAACATTGAGTGGCTGCCTCCTACATGCCTCCACTGGGGATTTGGCCCACAACTTGGGCACGTGCCCTGACTGGGAATCAAACCAGCGACTTCTTGGTGCATGAATCGATGCTCAGTCAGAGCCACACCAGCTGGGTGACATTTTCATTCTTTTTGCCCATGTTTCTTTTTATAAATTTCTTATTATTATTACATCAGTCCTTTACTATTTCTTGCAATGCTGGTTTGATGGCAATAAGTTCCTTTAGTCATGTGTGTGTGTGTGTGTCTAGGAAGCTCTTTATTTCATTTTCTATTTTGAATGGTAGCATTGCTGAATAGAGTAGTCTTTGTTTCAGATCCTTGCCATTCATTCCCTTGAATATTTCATGTCATTCCCTTCTGTATTGCACTGTAAGCTGTCAGCCTTATAGGAGCTCCATTGTAGGTAACACATTGCTTTTCTCTTGCTGCTTTTAAGATTCTCTCTTTGTCTTTAATTCTTGATATTTTAATTCATTGTGTCTTGTCATAGGCCTCTTTGGGTTCTTCTTGCTTTAGATTCTCTGTGCTTCTTGAACTTGTTTGACCTTTTATTTCACCAAGGTAGGAAAGTTTTCTGCCATTATTTCCTATAAACAAGTTCTGTATCCTTTCCTCACTTTTTTCTTCTGGTACTTCTATGATGTGGATTTTGTTACATTTCACATTATCCCACAGCTCCCTTAATCTGTCTTATTGTTTGATTGTTTTTTTATTTTTGGTTCTCTGATTTTTCTTTTTTTCTACAATGGCTTCTAATTCACTGATCCAGTACTTGACTTCCTTTAATCTAATGTTTATTCTTTCTTATGTATTCTTTGTTTCTGGTATGTTATTCTTCATTTCTGACTGGTTGTTTTTCACAGTTTCTTTTTATGTTGTTGAGCACTTTTATAATTATTACTCTGAACTCTATATCTGAGAATTTGCTTATCTCCATTTCATTTAACTTTTCTAGATAATTCTCTCTCTCTCTCTCTCTTTTTTTTTTTTTTTTTTATTTGGGGTTTGTTGCACTATTTCCCTATTTTGGATGCCTGTTTTGGGTTTCTTTCTCTGTATCAGGTAGACCTGCTACAACTCCCAGTCATGGTATAGTGGCCTTATATGGTAGTTGACTCAGAGGGCCCAGTGGCACAGTCTTCCTGATTACCAAACTGGGTGCTCTAATAATGACCCTTTTGTGTGTTGCATGGGTCTTCCCACTGTAATTGAGTCTTGATTGCTGTTGGTTCATCCATGTTTGGCTTGGCTTTCAGTCTGGCTGACAGTGAGGCTCAATCCCCAACACAGCATGCGGGCTGCTGTGCAGGTGTTTATCACATGAAGCACAATTTGCCTCAGCAGGGTTTGGAGCCTTCCAAAATCTCCCTGTGGATATACCACTTGTGAAGCTTATTGAGTCCTGCTTTGTTATTGACTGAAGTTTGCCACTAGGTTTATAAATTTTGAGCCTCTTTGGAGGGTCTGTGATGCAGGCAATGTGAGACATTGTTTATGACTGGTCCTGAGTACGTTTTTTAAGCTATCAGTGATCTGCAGCTTGTATCTCCCTCTGCTGGGGCAGAATGCCTATGGAAAGAACCAAGCTGAACACCAAAGTCTTCTTTTACTAGCCATGGGTAAAGGAGCAAGTCAAGCAAAGAATTGATGCATCCAGAGATCTGCCTCTGCCTGAAGACTGACTGTTACTCTAAGTCACTTAATGAGCCTCAGGCTGTAGTCCTCAGCCAGTGTAATCTCCACAGGGCAGGGAGAGAGTGTTTCCAACAGTAGGGGCTATTGCTCCCCACTTCTCTCCCCTGGCTAAAGCTGCATTGATGGGAAAACTGCTGAAGAAAGATGGCTTCGACAGCATGGGTAATGATTCAGCATAGGGATCCTGGTGGCTGCCTTCCAAGCCCTCTCTCTAGAGCCAACAACACAGACTTTCCTCACTCAACTCTAGTATACTCTTCCCTCCCTCTGCCAAAGCCCAAAGTGAGGGGCTGTAGACAAAATTTAGTGTGTTGGCCCTTGAAGAGGGTGTTTGTGTTTCTAGCTGTCTCTCTCTACTGGACAGGACCCTGGTGCTTTTCACAGTCAGGTGTTACGTGAGCACCTTTTCCGATTCTGTTACTCTAAGCTGGGAAGCCCAGCTTGGGGTTTAGACCCCAGACTTCTCAGGGGAACCCTCACAGCTGAGATATCCCTCCAGCACTTCAGCTGCTGCCAGTGGGAGCCCAGCCAGCCCTCTTGCACCTCCGCACTTCCCAGCAGTCTCGATGTGGCTTTCTCTTTATGTCCTTG